TCCCCCCCCAAAGCTTGCTTCCTTACCGTGGATGGCGTTTCCTTCAATGAGGCCCTTCCCGCACTCGCCCACCACCACGCCGTCCGAGTAGCCGCAGGAGATGAGGTTGTTCCTGAGGACGGGGTCGCCCCCATGGCGGATGTCTGCCCCGCCCCACTGGTTCTCGCAGATGACATTCCCTAGGGCCAGGCAGGGAGGACAGGGTGATCACACAGCGCTCCTGCCCATGGAGGAGCAAGGAGATGTGGCAAACCAAGACCTGGCCCCAGCGAAAAGCTCCCATTGCCTGTGGTGGAGCCCAAGACTCAGGCATGCCCTGTTCCCCGCTCCCCTGGCAATGCTCTCCTGCACAGGACACCGGTAATTACCAGCTGCAGTAACCACCACCTCCCTGTTCTCCGAGGTGCTGCGCAGAGCAGAAAACCACTCAGAGGTGCCACAACAGTAGGAAAACATAATTGACAGCTTTAAGTTATAAACTGGATGGCTCGGGAGGGAAGTCCATGTGGCAGATTGCTCTGGAGCACACATTCCCTGCTGGGCCAGACACAAAGGGAACAGTAACTCGGAGGACACACCGCAGAAGGACATGCTCTCTCCATCAGCGGCAGAAATGCCATTGAGAAAATGCAAAGCAAGGGATTATTGCTCCTACCATCACCCAAGAACCACCACAAGATAAACTTTGCAATCAAACAGACGAGGCTTAAAGACAAAGAAACTGGGCATAACAACGCCATTTTCATCGCCATACCTGTGATGTGGCCTCTCCCATTCTCATTCACTGCTATTCCAGCAGCCAGTCCCTGGAAAATATGGTTCCCACTGGGGCAGGAGAAGAAAATAAAGTTACCAGCAGCAGTGTTGCCTGCTCAGGGTTTGCACTGATGCCAGCACAGCAGGTCTCTGCAGAGGCACCGGTCCCCCTGGCTGGCTGCTTGTCACAGCCTGTTGCCTGTGCCTGGCAGCAAGAGCTGGGCACAGGGCAGCCACACAGCGAGGAGTGGCGAAAGGGAAGCACAGTGGGGAAGGCGCATGCAAAGCAGAGTGGAGCTACCGACGGCCAAACTACTTTCAAGGAGGTGAAAACACGAAAGAGGCATGGAGAACCACACATCAGAAGAGCATTTGAAGAGTGGGAGGTGCTCATGACCATCCAAATGGCCACCACGTCAGACCAGTCGTCTGTTCTGTCTCCAGGAGCGTCCCCCACAACTGCAGGGAATGTACAGACGGGGAGAACCAAGCACTGCCTCCTGCAGCCTGGCCCCTCCACACCACTGGCAACCTGCACCCACAGTGACCCCCACCCCTGAGATGGACTATCCTTCTCCTCAGGGTTAAACTCGCTCCTCTGCAAACCACCCTGCACGCTCGGCTCTCCCAGCACCATGCAGCATGCCCTGCAGGAAGGCAGGCCACCCACAGCCAGCTGTTGCAGCCTCCCTGTGGGCAGCATGGAGCAGGGACCTCCGCGCTGCAGACCCATGTGCTCCCGTGGAAAAGCATGGAGGACACACCACGGAGCAGCTGGAGCCCACCTATGTGGACACAGCAGAGTCGTCTGTGAGGGCTTCAGTCCATTTCCCCCCATCCTCCCCACGCCAGGCAGGAGGCAAAAGGCTTTATCAGCCACAAGAGTGCTGCTCTGAGAGAAGCCCTGAAGCCAGCGGGCAGACAGTGACTGTGGTTGATGGTGGGAAAGATTAAACATGGTGGTAGAAGCAGAGGCAGCACCACACTGGGAATGACAGCCTGGAAAGCACATGTGGTGCCCAAGTAGAGGCATCACCTGCTGTCCCCCGGGCTCCCACCTACCACCTGTCAGGAGGAATGAAGTCCAGGAGACCCAAACCCACCACCAGCTCCTCCTCCACAACACAGCCTTGAATCTCTGGCTTGCTCCTCAAGTTCAGAGGAGAAGAGCAACCAGGATGCTCACGAATTAAAAATACCAACCGAGTGCGGTGCCTGTCACGGACTCTGCCCCGGCATCCACCCAGGAGTGCTCACCAGAGATGGCTCTGCTCCCTCCGGGCTGTGAAGGGAGTGGAAGAGCTTCTGCAGCCAGGGTGGGAAAGCGGAGCCTGTGAGATGCAATCGCCAGCACTGGCTTGGGGTGGAGGGGTGGACACAGCGTTTCGCACTGCTGTCCCGCTCCCAGGGAGAAGTGTAGGCAGAGCGGGGACCACCCCACCTTGCCAGGCAGTTCATGCTTCTGCTGCCCTTGGCTGCGCTGGCACGGCTGCCCATACTGGCACTGGAGGAAAGCCCCCGCTGCCCTGCCAAAGCAACGCAGGCTATCAGTGGCTGCCAGAGAATGGAAAGATGCTTGTGGGCTGCAGGGCCTGGTGTGACACACGCACCTGCCTCCAGGAAGAGGGACCAGGTGAGAAGAGGGCACGAGGCGCCTTTATTTGAAATCTGTGCTCGCACCAGCAGCTGCAAGGCTAAGGAGGAAGAGAAGCCGCAAAACCATCCCAGAGGCAATCCCCCAGGAACATAAGGTGGGGGCTCTCAGCTGCCCAGGTCCCACCACGGCAGGGCAGTGCCCTCCAGTGCTGCTCTCACTTAGGGGACTGGTATGTTGCTGCCTGGCCGGGTTTTTCTAGGGGGGATGGGACTACAGAGGCAGTTCTACAGGAGAGGCTTCGAGAAGCTCCCCCAGCTCCAACTTCAGACCCACCTCTGGCCAAGTCCAGGCCAATTGTCACCTCTTGGAATAACTATTTAAGAATGAAAGAAACTGTTGGGTGAGTTCTTTGTTCACCTGTCTGGTTGGTGAACAGAGGAGAGGAGGGGATGGGAGACAGACAGCCCTGCGGACAC